TGGATAGGGGAAGCCAGGCTCAGAGCAGCACCAATTGTCCGGCAGCCAGAGCACTTCCGGGTTCCTGGTGGTGCCGGACCATCAGGAGTGCTGGAGCATTGGATGCCGGACCAATGGAGTTTTACTGTATTTACAAAACTACTGAATAATGATTTCATATCAGTTACATTATGTATGGCACCTAACACAGGATGTATCTGTTACACAACACAGCAGCCACAAGAATCTAAATATGCCTGTAAGTTAGTCCATTAAAGAATATTTCAGATTTTTAAATGAGGCCAAAATCATGTGTTTAAGCCACTAAAAAATTGTGTCGCTTACCCAAATGAGAAAGTTAAAGATAAAAAAAAATGTATGGTGCAATTCTTAGGTAGTTAAAATTTCAAACTGTACTCAAAGTCAGCATGAAACTCCTATAGTAAATGTGTGTAAGAGAGCAGTCACAACATTGATGGATAGCCTGCTGCTATTAGGGCAAAGTGGGGAAGGTGCAATCACAAAAGTATGAAGGAGGAGATTTTAAAAAAAGATGATATTATTGATAGCATCTCAAGACCTGAAAATTTTACTTACCTACTGTTAGTAAAAAACCACACAGTTGCAAATATAACCTTTAAAATATAAAAAGATACAGGGTCATGTTCCTTCCAAGTCTGAAAATAGAAAACTTTAATGCCTCTGTTTGTGGTTTTGCCAAGATACCAAAGTAAACACCAACTAGAGTCTTGTCAGTTTTCTCTATTGATACTGGAAACTTCATGATCAGGAGTTTAAAACAATTATCTTTGGAAAACTCTGAATAGCTGCAGAAAAGGTAAAAATTACTGACAAAACAAACAGTTACAATGAAAATAATACCCATGAAAATACTGTATTTACATATAATCAAAAAAATCTTATGGATGTAGATATAGCTCATAATTAGATGATTTCAGAAAAATATTCTTGAGTAAAGTATGAAGCTTGATGTGAATACACAAAATGACCTTCCAGAGGACATCTATTCCCCAGCATATATGGTGTCCATGTTCTGATAACACAACAAAAGGTTTGGGCCATGCTTGTGGTTGCGGTTTTCTATACATTGTAAAAACAATCACCCACAAATATGATCAGAAAAAAAATCCTTTAACTTACGTTGTCAGTAAGAATGCCCCATCACCACATCTCTCTAGAGCCTTCCTTGCCGGAGGTTTTGCTGCAAACTCTACAAAACCTTTTCCTGTAGCTCTGCCACGGTCATCTACTACAACAACAGCTCTCTCCACTGGACCAAACTGAGAAAAAGCTTGTTCCAGAAGCTCATTGGAAACCACAGGTGAAAGATTCTTGATTGTTAAAGCAGCTCCATGTGTAGCAAATCGAATTCGAAGTGGTCTACTCTTCAAAATAGTACCATCAAGTTCTGCCTTTGCTATTTCAGCCAGTGTTCTAGATTCCTTTTCAAAAGAAAAAAGTTATATGTACCCAAACTTCTCAAGAATACTGAGTCAATTTATTAGTTTTCAGCTATTTTTACCATTACTTAAAACTTTTCTAAAAAAAAGAATAAGCATATTAAAATTAGGAGGAGGATCGGTCAATATTTAAAGTTTTATTTAAATTTAATGTTTTTTCATATTCCTTTTTGTTTGATTGCAGCTATCTGAATTTGTTTGTCGTCCTTTAATTTGTTTTCACGCACTACAGGAGGATTCCACAAACATATTCCTAATGCAAAAAAGTATAGCAAGCAAATGGTCTGGTAGCACTTTATAGACTAACAAAACATGTAGATGGTATCATGAGCTTTCGTGGGCACATGGAACAGTCCCCTGTCCACATTGGGCTCCTCCAGGCTGGAGCAGCCTCTGATGGTTAACCATAACCGTTCACATCCTAGTACAGGAGGGAGTTCTAAGTGATGGACTGGGATGCAAGAGAGAGTACAGGGTCTAGTTTGGGTACAGGAGAGAGTTCTGTCCTGGAGAAGAAGGACAAAGTGTTTAAGTTGTGACCTGGAGCAGAGAATTAGTGTGCAGGCGGCGGTAGGGTGCCAGGTGCAGGCTCCTAGCCAGCAGCCCACTGGGACCTTTAGGCAGGCTCCCTGCCTGCTGTGCCCCCACTCGCCACTCAAGGCAGCCAGCTGCTGGGGCCAGTGTGTATGTCTGTGCGGCATACCTCTTGAAAAGGGGACAGCAGGGCTGTGTGTGTTGCATATACCCACAAGCACAGCCCAGACAGCTCCCATTAGCCAGTTTCTGCCCAACGAGAGCTTCAAGGATTGTGCTGGGGAAGGTAGTAGCACTGCATGAAGACATATGCTGGCCCCAGCAGCCAGCCACTTTGTCTGCTGTGCTCCCACACATCATTCTGAGAGCCTGCCTGAGGGTCCCACTGGTCTGCAGGACATTGGCAGCCCAGAGTATTGTGGCAGGCTGAATCCAAATGTTTGGTGGGCTGCATATGGCCCACAGGCAGCATTCTGCCTTCACCTGCCCTAGAAAGTGTTTTGTTTTCTCTAAGGATTTTCACTATACCTGTTATATTTTGATTTTTTTTTAAGCTGCATGATTACTCTTCACTTGTTTTTGTGCCTTTCACACCTATGTAACCTAAGTGCCAATCTTCCTTGATGTTCATCTCTTAGAGTCTTTCCTTTAATTTCTTTCACTTAGGGCCCTATGTTCTTGTTCTAAAGAATTATTTCTCAAGCTAAGGAAAATGTAATAAAGCTCTCTCACAATCTCTGCAAAATTGTTCAGTTGGCCAAAAAGATTACACAACAGTGACATGAGATGTTCTGTTCCTCAATCCTCCCAGGTACTGCTAGCAAAATAAGAAATTATATTCCATCCCAGCTACATATTCAAACCCTATATACAGCAACACTTTAAAAATGTGTTTAGACATTAGAAAAAAAAACAATGTCAAAGTTACATTTTTTTAAAATCTCAAATATTGAACATTATGGAAATTGACTACCAAAAAAATCCTAACATTCTTTTATATGCCTTTTGCATTTTCTATTTACAGTAGAAACAAACTGACATGCTAAATCTATAGGCAATAACGTAGTTTTAACTGCCTCAATTTTTGCCTGAGTTACCAGAAACCAGATTTTTAGAAATAAGCACATATCCAAAAATAGAGCCCTTAAGCGTTTCTTAAAGTGGAGACTATTAAGTGAGGCAAAAAAAAAAAAACTGTATGAGTAAATCTTGAAAAAGTGGGTCCTTTTTCTAACAGTATCAAGGAAACAACAATTGTACCTCACAATAACATATTTCAGTAAAATGTAAATGGTATAACTCACTATGCCTCTTAAATTTATGCTTATGTTTTCATTTCTTTAGAAGCCAAATATGTGGGAAAAGGATCCTGTGTCTCCCCTTAAAATTTGCTACATCATAAAAAGAAAAAAACCCAGATGTTTATGCTTCATCATAAACCAAAAAAAACTAATTAGTTACAACAAGAAACTTCGTAAATAATGCAATGGGAGGGTGAGACAACCATCTCAACTCAACTAATCATACTTTTTTCTTATTCAAAGAAGCATTTTCTATTTTCTGCTAATGAAATTAAAAGGCAATAGTAATATCAGGTTACCTGTGTAAAACAAGTGGGGCTGGTGGGTTAAATTCAGGGCTGCAGAGTACGGATGTTAGTGTATAGTAAAGTAATCGATTAACCAATAAGCTTGGGCTTATCAGTTAATCCTATTGACGACACACACTACCCCATGGGGGGGTAAGGCAGGAACATCCGATCCCGCA